TCGTTCATCCATCCATTCTTTCATTCATCCGTCCATCCATCCATCCATCCATTCGTCCATCCATCCATCCATCCATCCATCCATTCATTCATTCGTTCGTCATTGCAATATTTTTCAGAAGGTTGGGGCGTGGCTTGAACCCTCCAGGGCAGAAGAAACATCCAGCGCACAACAGAGAGGAACAGCAGAGGCCAAAAATACCATTCATTGAGGCAGGACGCTTGGGATGAGGAAAGCCAGTGAATGTTTATGTGAAAATAAAAGAAATCTTAACTTTGCCCTGGCCGGGTTGGTTCAGTGGCTAGAGCGTCGGCCTGCGGACTGAAGGGTCCCGGGTTCGATTCCAGTCAAGGGCACATGCCCGGGTTGCAGGCTCAATCCCCAGTAGGGGGCGTGCAGGAGGCAGCCGATCAATGATTCTTTCTCATCGTTGATGTTTCTCTCTCCCTCTCCCTTCCTCTCTGAAATCAATAAAAATATATTAAAAAAATAAATAAATAAAATAAACATTCACTGAACCGTACACATAAAACGTGCACTTTACTATATGGAAGTTATTACATCTCTTTTGCAAAGAAATAAGAAGAAAGAACTCCGATTTGGAAAATAGGCTGGGGTCAGGTGATGAAGGGTTTGGGCGAAAAAGAGAAGGGATCTATGTCCCAAAGGCGGCTGGGAGCCACGGCAATAGATTACCGGTGTTCCGGTCCATCAGCCTGAAGTCACCAGGAACATAGTCTGATAAAGTCTAGTTTATTGGACCCGTTGCCACAACGGAGCCTGTGCAATAGCAGCCACGGAGCATCTTGACACACGAGGAGAAGGTAGGGTTGTAGAGTCCGGAGGAAGGGTGGGATTTAGGTGACAGCTAGATGGTGGGCTCAGAGCAAAGCAGGGTCACCATCAGGCGTGGACTGTGGAGGACCAGGTGGGTCCTGCATCCTTCCAGGGTCCTGTACCCTTGGAAACGACACGATGAATGGAGAAGTGGATTGCAGGGTCCAGAATCCCTGGGCAGCTCTGCACCTCGGTTGAAAAATCAAGGCTGCTACTTTGTGTCAAATGGCTTAAATCCAACAGGTGAGAATGGGCTGTTTCATGTTTACTGATGGAATTTCCAACACTTCATTATTTTATTTCATTTTTATGTTTTTATTGATTTTTAGAGGGAGGGGAAGGGAGAGGGATAAAGGAAATATCAGTGAGAGAGAAACATCATTGATCGGCTGCCTCCTGCACGTCCCTACTTGGGGGTCGAGCCCAGGAATTGAGCCCCTGACCCAGCCGTGAACAAACTACGGCCCGCGGGCCGGATCCGGCCTGTTTGAAATGAATAAAACTAAAAAAAAAAAAAAGACCGCACCCTTTTATGTAATGATGTTTACTTTGAATTTATATTAGTTCACACAAACACTCCATCCATGCTTTTGTTCCGGCCCTCTGGTCCAGTTTGAGAACCCATTGTGGCCCTCGAGTCCAAAAGTTTGCCCACCCCTGGCCTAACCTCTTGGTTCCTGGGTTGATGCTCAACCACCAAGCCACACTGGCTGGGCCCTTCATGATTTTAGAGAACAGTTTCTCTGTGAGTAAGAAAACATGTCCTTGGGAGAAATGATGTTTCCTATTAGCTTTGAAGCTGCATTTTTCTGTGACTACTGGAGGCCCCGTGCAAGAAGATTCGTGCAAGAGTAGGCCTTCCTTCTCCCAGCTGCTGGCACTGGCTTCCCTCTGGCCCCGGCTTCATCAGGAAGGACATCCGGAATGACATCCGGTCTAATTAGCATATTACCCTTTTATTATTATAGATTATTTGAACTCAGTAAATTAGTTCTCCCTCTACCTCAGTAACAGAAAAGGGAAGAAAGGGTGTGAGAAGGGAAGATGGTGTGAGATAATAAACATTGCAGCCAGAGACCTCTAAACAGTACAGCTGGTGAATAGAGGGGAGAAGACTTTTTAGATAATTCCGAAGTCAAAATTGTTTACTATACGAAAAATGCTATATTGAACCTGTGTAGTCCATCTCCAACATGGGCCCCAGTGAGTCTCATCTCCAGGTTTTCATACTCCTTCCACGCCGACTAAGACTGGCCAGTGTGACTAACAGGGCACTGTGAAAATGACAGAGCATAACTTGCAAGATTAGATAATAAGTCACTGCAGCTCTGCCTTGCTCTCTCTTACTGTAAATCACTAGCATTAGAGGAAACAGAGGCCATATTGTCAAGACACTTTAGCCGTCATCTTCTAGAACAGTGGTTTTCAACCTGTGGGTCGCGACCCCTTTGGGGGTCGAACAACCCTTTCACAGGGGTCGCCTAAGACCATCGGAAAACACATACATAATGACATATTGTTTTTGTGATGAATCACTATGCTTTCATTATGTTCAATTTGTCACAATGATATTGGGGGTCACCATAGCATAAGGAACTGTATTAAAGGATCGCGGCATTAGGAAGGTTGAGAACCACTGCCCTAGAGAAACACGTGCCTCAGAACCAAGTCCCCAGCCATGTGAGTGAGCCACTTTGGAAGCACATGCTACTGCCCCAGTCCAGCCTTCGGATGACACCATTCCACACCAACACCCTGACTGCAACCTCATGAGCTCCTAAGCCAGAACCACCCAGCTAAGCCACTCATGGATTTCTGACTCTCAGAGATGGTGTGAGATAATAAACATGTATTGTTGTTTTAAGTTACTATGTTTGGGGGCAATTTGTTACACAGCAATAGATAACCAATACACCCAGGATAAATGAGCCTATGTCCAGATGAGGAGGTCAGAGGCTAGAGGTCAGAGGCAAGTCCAAAGTTGTACAACGGGTAGGATTTGGGGGTTCCAGCTCTCCTTAGACATCTTAAAGCTGAATCGATCTCTCACGCTGTAAAAATTATACCAGTTTTTCTGGTTAGCTATTGCCATAAGTAAGAAGGCTCAGTGGTTTAAAACAAGTCATTTTATTATCTTCCATTGGCCTATGGTTGGTGACATTGGGAAACACTTAGCCTGGATTTGATCAAGATCTGATCAAACACCTGTTTTCATGGAGCCTCACGGCTTTCCACATGGTTTCTTCGTGTGGGGTACACTGGGCTTCCTCACCTTTTGGTGGCTTCAAGGAAGCGGAACTGCTTGCATGATGGCTGAAGTTCAAGAGGATTTCAGCTCACAAGGAATTACATACCTTTCCTGACCCAACCTCAAGTCATCCAGCGTCACTTCTGCTGGGTTCCAGTGGCTACCAGTGAGTCATGAGGCCACTCAATTTCAAGGGAAGGGGGAGGAGACTCCACCTCTTTTTAAAAAAAATATATATTTTATTGATTTTCCACAGAGAGGAAGGGAGAGGGATAGAGTTAGAAACATTGATGAGAGAGAAACATCGATCAGCTGCCTCCTGCACACCCGCTACTGGGGATGTGCGCACAACCAAGGCACACATGCCCTTGACCAGAATCGAACCCGGGACCCTTCAGTCCACATGCCGACGCTCTAACCACTGAGCAAAACTAGTTAGGGCGAGACTCCACCTCTTAATGGGGGAAGTGAGTGGAGACAGGAGACACCTTTGAAAAATATAAGGTGGGCATACCAATCCAACTGCTTTGGCAAAGGCGAATGTAACGGGCGTAAACAACACGGAAGTTCATTTCCCTCTCATGGCACAGCCCAGGACTAAGCAATCCCAAGCGATATTAACAGTGACTAACCTTCCAGTGTCAGGAATCGTAATGGTTCATTTAATTGTATGTGCCAACTTGACTGGGCCACAGGGTGACCAGAACCTTATTCTGTGTGTTTCCGGGTCCGATGAACATTTAAGTTGGTAGATGAGCAAAGCAGATGGCGCTCCCTAAGGGGGGTGGACCTCACCCATCCGTTGAAGGCCTGGATGGAGCCCAAACGCTGACCCTACTCTGAGTGAGAAGGAATTCTTCCCGGCCACCGTAGCGCCAGGACATCAGCTTTCTTCCTTCAGATTCTAACGGAAACATTGGTTCTTTCCGGGTCTTGAGCTGCCCGCCTTCAGGCGAGAGCTACTCCACCTTGCCCGGCCGACATAGCTCAGGGGCTGAGCAGCGACCTAGGAACCAAGAGGTCACGGTCAGGGCCCATGCCTGGGCTGCGGGCTCCATCCCCAGTGTGTGGAGTGCAGGAGGCAGCCGATCAATGATTCGCTCTCATCATTGATGTTTCTCTCTCTCTCTCCTTTCCTCTCTGAGATCAATTAAAAAAAGAAGAAGAACTACACTACCAGCTCTCCTGATACGGTGTTCAGGCCTTTGGACTTGGACTTGAGCTAACCATCAGCTCTCCTGGGTCTCCAGTTGCCAGTTCAACCGGCAGATCTTGGGGCAGGCCGACCTCCACAGTGATGTCTTCCTTCTGTCCTTCTAGCTTTTTGGCTCCACCATCCACAACACAGGGCTTCCATCTCACAGGGTAAGAAGGTCCCGCCAATGCCCAACACCCCACCCCACTCCGGCCCGAAGGAAGGGAGAGGTTAAGGGGGAGGCCGTGCTCCTTGCCTTTGAAGGCCATCACTTAGACGCGGCACACATCTCTCTGGCCGGAAGCTATTCACAGGGCAAGAAACCAGCTGTGAGGGAGCCAGGGAGATGTCGTCTTTAGCCGTGCAGCCCAGCCTCCAATGCCGCTTTCCTATCACAGGTGAGTGAGTGCTTAGGGGACACCCAGCCATCTCTGCCACACAATTAAAAGGCTGAAACTCGCCCTGACCAGTTTGGCTCAGTGGATAGTGTCGGGAGCCA